AAAGCGGTAAAGAAAAGTATAGATGGAGAGGATGCATGCGTTTTAGAAATGGGGGAAGAATTTTAGGTCGAGTGTTTCACGAAAATTCTTTACTGGCATTGCAAGACTAGTGCTGTTTTGCTAATGTGCCTTTAGATATCGCTGAACTATTATCACAATTACAATACATTTTATGTCTTTCTTTCAGTTAACTACTGTCACTTTAACCCTTGCAAAAATGGTGCCACCTGCTTGAACAATGCAAGCAATCCAAATTCCTACATATGCAATTGTACATCGGGGTATTCTGGGCCAAGATGCGAAAAAGGTTTGTATAAAATAGGTTTTAAAGACAAAGTAATTACTAGCAGATCAGAGTCCTACAAATATATACATAGACAGGGTGTGCTTAAGGTACAAAGTAGCCTACTTCACCTCAAGATGTAACTGTGCCTTTGCATCGAAATGCTACTACCATTGAGCCTGCAATGTGATAATGCAAATAAAAACTGAGTGCCTACCATTGATTTTATATGATTGGAAATGTTAAGGACACATTCAGCAGTGTCATATGTAAGAACTATAAGAAAGAGGAGTTCTGTAAGGTTTTCAAGACTTAGACTAAGTAATAGTGAAAATAAGGATTAATAAAAAGTAAGGATTTGCATGAAATTCTTTGCTGAGACCGCCTTGGCAGCCTCCTTTTGGTGTTTTTGTGTCTCTTCTGAACCTTATAACTTCTAGAGGATTTAATTTTTTTCTATGAATTTTTCAGACCTTATTTCATTTTAGCTTTGATATCATCAAAGTGTTTTCTTTTGCCAACATTATGAATTTAACAATAATATGCTTATTAGTTTAGGTCATTATGAAAGTCGTCAATAGATGCAAAAGAAGGTTGTTATCTGTTCATGTTTAGTGCAGTACGCGCAGTCAACCCAAGGAAATCTAGACCTTAAAAATTCGACTTCAACTAGTCAGATCATCCAGGCTCCAATATACGTGGTCATATAATAAATGGTTGAATTATAACAAGTAGCTACGTGTACTACGTTAATCCTTCGACAATTAATTATAACAACTGATGTGCACTTTTTTTCTTCCTTTTTGATCCATAAAGCAAAGTGCTTTGGAGACAATATGTACGACTTTGGTCCAAGCAACAACGACAGTGAAGCTTATCGATATTATTTTTGCACAATTCTTACAATCCCAGATATTCGGTTTGATTTCTATGGACAAAAACACAGGAGATTGGCTGTAAGTAGATATTGCTGAATTTATTTATTCATTGGTGCTGGGACAGGGTTGCCATGGTACCAATTGTATTCYGTTCTATGGGTTAGAGTTGCCATGGTCACCGTGTTGCTGTACTGTGTTCGTCTCACCTCCCACCTTAGCAGCAACGCCAAGTCCATCTAATGGTGATGAATTTCAATGCATTAACAAAAACCTTATGACTAAATCTTTTTTTCAGGTTTGTAAAAATGGTATGYTGCAGTTTGACAGATACTGGTCACTTTCGTGGCCTCGAAAGTTTGGTTCTCAAAGTTGGCTCAATTATTACAAAATTATTGCACCTTTTTGGGCAAGRATTGACGATTTTTATCCTTTCATATACAGATACTTTTACTACAGGTAAGTTTACAGCCTTTTGCAGAAATTATGAGAATTGTTGAAATATCTAAATATCATAATATCGAGTGCATGATGGGTAATTCCGCGCGATGCCCTTAGTCCCTTGTCTTTGTAGTTTAGTTYTTTTKGGGGGCGACAGACTTATCCGTAGTTTTGAACATTTTCTCGATGTCAACAATGAATTATTCTAGCAAACCCGCGTGTTCCGGACAATATGTGGATATGGATATTATGATATTTAGATATTTAGACAATTCTCATAATTTTTGCAAAAGGCTGTAAACCTATGAAAAACCAAATAACAATCGCAATACTGCTATTACCTGCATGTCTACTACCAATATTACCATTGGTAGTTTATATTAGATTATTTTATTTTATTAGCTTCGCCAAAAAATAAACTATAATTGTAACTACATGAATGCATACACCCGGGTGGGGTACTTCCCCCAAACTTGGGTGGGGATGTGCCACTGGGACATCAAAACCCTGATCCTGTTCCAGAGTGAAATCGCTGAAAACTATACCCTGTTCCAGAGTGAAATCGCTGAAAACTATACCCTGTTCCAGAGTAAAATCGCTGAAAACTATACCCTGTTCCAGAGTAAAATCGCTGAAAATGATATCCTGTTCCAGAGAAAATCCAGCACTAGCGTGCGTGTAGACCGAATTTTTACCCCGTGAATTTTTACCCAGCCCGGAATTAAACCCTGACCCTGTTCCAGAGAAAGTTCGTTGAAATTGATACCCTGTTCCAGAGTAACATCGCTGAAAACGATACCCTAGTTGGCGGCACGTCCCCGTATAGCGAATTTAGGGGTCCCCCCCGGGTGCATACATAAATAAACAACATACAAACTTAATAGAAAAGAGAGTGGCAGGGACACCGTAACAGCAGAGTCAATTACAGCGGGCCTAAGAGTTAGTTAGCACACCATGTCTTTGTCACTGCCAAAGCTACTATACCACTCATGATCACAACTACACTAAAACTACCCTATCAATACTACTGACATTAACACTGAACACTAACACTACTATATCTACTTTATAATAATAAATAATAAAAATAAAATCCGCCTG